TAAAAGATAAAAAAGTATTCCAAGAACATGTTAAATATCAGATATATGTAGTGGGAATATAAATAATAGGAAAATAGATTTTAGCAGAAAAAATATTAACAAAGGCAAAAGAGAGAGATTTCATAGTGGTAAAACATATTCTGAAAAAGACAACGATATTAATGTATATAAACTGATGATAGAAGGTTGTTATTATATGAAGTAAAATATTACAGGACTGTGGTGGTTTTAAAATATACCCGCTAATTTTTTAATATGCCTCCCTTTAAAAAGTGAAGGGTAATTCTTCATCCTTTGTGTGTGCATTACATTTATCAACCCTCTTCTAATGAATAAAATGTGATGGAAGCGACGGTGTGTGATTTCTGTGACTAGGTCATAAATGGCATTGTAGAGCCCTCCTCCCTCTCTCTCTCTCCCAGGTCACATGCTATTGGGGACACCAACTGCCATGTCCTAAGTACACTCAAGCAGCCCTATGGTGAAATACACATGGCAGAGAGCTGAAGCCTCCTGCCAACAGCCACCTTTTGATCCTCCTGCCCCATTAGAGCCTGAAGATGCCTCAACGTCTTGACTGCAACCTCATGAGAGATCCATCCAAGTGAAGAGAACTGCTCAATAAACTATTCTGAGTTCTGATCCACAATAACTTTAATATAATAACTGTTCACTATGTTAAGTTTCTAAATTTGGGGTTCATTTGTTGTAAAACAACATATAACTAATATATGGCCTGAAAGGTGAAATAGAAATATTTACAATTATAGTTGAAGATCTCAACATTTATCTCTTAGCACATGGTGGAACAAATAAACAGTGAATGATTAACTATAAAGAGCAACACTATCTAACAATTGGACTTCAACTTTATAGCGCATTCCACCTAAGAATAGCAGAGTATCATTGTTTAATTGAATATGAACATTTATTAAGATAGACCAAATGCTAGAATTAAAAAAAGTCTCAATAAATTTAAAAGTATATTGTTTACAATAGCACCCAAAACAATGAAACACTGAGAGGTAAGTTTTAGGAAGTATGTTGAAGACTATGAAGCACTGATTAAAATATTGAAGATGTAATCAAGTGGGTACATGATATATTCATGAATTGGAAGGCTAAATATTGCTAAAATATCAGTTCCCCCAAAATTTATCTATAGATTCAACCCAGTTGCAATCAAATTGCCTGTAAATCATTCTTTTTTTGGTAGAAATTGACAAGCTGATTTTAAAAATTGTATGGCAATGCAAAAGACCTAGAATAAAGCTAAAGTAATAAAGACTGTGATGTTGGCATAAAAATATATATCAATAAAAAGAGAATGCCAAAATGGGAGAGTTTACATATGATCAGTTGACTTCAGAGAAAAGCACTACAGTAGGCTATTAGATGGGGAAATGATATCCTTCCCAAAAAATGCTACTGAGATAAATGGATAGCTGCATGGGGAAAAAAAAGACAGCTCTCACTTAAGCCTTTTTACTTCATGGAAAACACCAAGATTTACTGAAATAAATCATAAACCTATATAGCCAAGACTATAAAAATCTCTAGGAAAAAATAAGAAAGATAATGTTCACAACTTTGGGATAAACAAAGACTTCCAAAATGGGACACAAAAGTATTGAGTATATCCCTAGATGGTGTGGCTCAGTGGATTGAGCACTGGCCTATGAACCAAATGGTCACCAGTTTGATTCCCAGTCGGGGCACATGCCGGGGTTGTGGGCCAGGTCCCCAGTTAGGGGCTTGCGAGAAGCAACTACACATTGATGTTTCTATCTCCATCTTTCTCCCTCCCTTCCCCTTTCTCTAAAAATAAATAAATACAATTTTTTTAAAACACTGCAAAATATTTTTATAAAAGAGTATTAAGTATGAATGAGAAATGTTGATAAATTGGACTTAATCAGAATTAAACACTTCTGTTATTCTAAAGTGTCTGTTGGTTCACAAACTGGCCCCTGTACATGGAAGGCATCAGGGGGCCAAAGACAGAGGCAGACCACTCCAGATGGCAGGTGGCAGATTTAATAAGCACGGAGACTTACATAAGAGGCCCATGGGTGCCCACAAGATGAGTAAATCTCTGCACTTGCCCACCAGAATCTTAAAAGTTTATATCAAAGCCTTCAGTGGGTACAGTCATGAATACTGTCCAGATGGTCTCAGTAATACATTATTATCTCAAGGCTGTGTCCTTGAAGCAGCTTCTAGTGCAAGGAAGGCAGACAGGATTCATACTCCAAGGACAGCGGAGAGCAGCATGGGGAGGGGTCCAGCCCACAGGCCAGTCTGCGGTCAGATCCTCGCAATGACCTCCACCAACAGCTGCCAAGAATTGAAGGGTCAAGCTTCAGACTGAGAACAATATGCACTATATTAAGTATATTTGACAAGGGATTTTTATCCAGAATATATATATTTAAATCTCTCAAGTTAATTATAATATGATGAATAAAACAATTAGAAAAATGAGCAAATGATATGAACAAACATTTCACAAAGTAAGTAACGGAAATGCCCAGTAAGCCCATGAAAACCTTTTTAGCATCTTTGAAAAATGCAAATGACAGTATCAGTAGATACCACATGTGACCATTAGAGTTGCTAAAATTAAATAATATTAGGGTTGGTAAAGATGCAAAGCATCTGGAACTCTCCTATCACTGAGGAAATTTAGAATTATACAATCATGTTGAAAAAGTGTTTCATAGTTTCTTATAATTATGTACCCACCAAACAACCCAATAATATCATTCTTAGGAATTGAGGAATATACATATATATCCACACATACACTGTATTCATATATTCATAGTTGTTTTATTCATAATAGCTCAAAACTGGAACAATACAAATTTACTTCTATAGGTAAATGTATAAACAAATTGTGTTGTATCTATACAATAGAATATCATGCAGCAATGAAAAAGGATGTGTTACTGATGTAAAGCAAAAACTTGGCTGCACCTGAAAAACTTTGAGCTGAGTGAAAGAAACCAGGCACAAAGACTATTATTTTATTATTTAATTTACATGAAATTTATGAATAGCTAAAATAATTGTTAGTGAAAATAATCAGATTAGTGGTTGCCTGTTTCTAGGAGTGGAGTTTGGGGGAATTACTATAAAGGGTAGAATAGAAATATTGGGGAATAATAGAAATAGAGTATATATTAATTGGTGGGTAGTTGTCAAATGGGAATTTACACTTTTTAAAGACATCAAATGGGTACACTTATTTTGTGTATATTGTACCTCCATTAGGTTTATTTGAAAAATATAGTGTTGATAATACTGATTCTGTATCTTAATTTTGGATACATAATTTTGTGTTTTTCCTCTGTGGTAGATCAGACAAGGAGAGTTGACATTAGAGATTATAGTCTTATTCTCAAGGCTTGGGCCAGATTTCATTTAGCAATTTTCACAATAAAGAAAAAAATGATTAAAAATTTTCCTCGTACTAGTATTAACAGAACTAAGGAAGACAGAGAATAGTGAGGGATACTTAATCACTTCAGCACCATCTTGCCAGTGGTTCTCAATCAATTCTATAATGAATTTCCCTTCAATAAAATAAAGGAGGTATTTTAAGTAATTACTTAACTTCAATATAATATTTAAGATAGCATTATAATGTCTTAAATACAAAATTAAAAAAATTCTCTACATAAAACTATGCATTTCAATAGTAAATATGAATAAAACCATGTTAGTACACAAAAATGAAACAGAAGCCCAAACCTCTTCCAAAGTCACCATTAATGTGATAGATAGGACATTGATAATGTCCTGAGACAATACCATAAACAGAATTGTTATCGGTGATGTTATTTTCTGAAATGGTAAACAAAATTTGGTGAAGTTAAAAAAACACCAAGTATATTATTTGCTCAATGTGTATAGTAAACGGAGCCTAGAAAATAAAATTCATTTTATTTTATGTGCAGAATAGATTTAAATTAGACTTCAAATATAATGCATTTTTGTTTGTTTCTTTGTTTTTTACCCAAATGACTTTTAAGCAATTGAAAGTGTCCATTCAGAAGTCCCTGCAGTACAATTTAGTTTGTAGGAGAAAGGCTCTCTGACCTCACAGTACACTAATGCCGGGGGTACTGCCAGTCAAGGGGTCAACCGAAAAGACAGGCTGCAAGTCTTATAAAGACCAAGTAAGGAGCTGTTTTAAACCTTACGTGAGTCACAGACCATAACAAACAAACAAACAAACAAACAAACAAACAAAGTAAAGAGCTGTCATCTGAACCTTGAGTGTCAAAAGATACTTCCAAAAAGCCTGTTGATTAAAGGGAAGAAACGGGGATTGGAAAAGATAAAATTATTAATCTGAAAGGAAACACGTGTAAAGACCTTTCTATCTTTAAGTAACTTTAAATAGACTGAACTGAAAACCCAATTCTATCCTTTACGTTGACCATAGACACCGTAGTGGCGCACGGGGATTTATGCTATTTTGTCCTCCCCTTGCTGCCCCGCCAAGCATGCTACCAGCAGTAAGTCCCACGGCCAGATTCGCAGCCTCCCAGGGACCACCTTCCGCCCTCCAGTAACTTCTAAATGTCACCTGGGCCTTCGGGAAGGTCTTGTCACCGAGGTGACTTAATTGGATACAAGCCGCCACCAGCACACAGCTTTGCCAGGCCTTTCTCAGGAGGCGCATCTACCCAGCTTCTGTAAAGTTCCTCGCTGTGCCCATTTCCCACAAATCGTGCCTTCCACGAGCAGGGACTGCACAGATCACGAAGTGCCTCCACATCAATTCCGTCCTTTCACTTAGAAGTTCAGCTAACAGATGAAGCAAGGCACGATCCCTTCTCGGAGGGCGGGACTGCTACAGGAGAGGCCTTTTTCACCGAGGACCCTTTAAGGGCCTGTGCCTGGACATCCGTGGGACGAGGGCGTGCGAAGGGGAGGGTGGGGGAGTGTCCTCTTTTCCCCCCACCCTCCGCCCTCGGCGCCTGAGCCCAAGCCAGTGGGGGCTGTCTCCTCCTCTTACCCAGCAGCTGCCGCTCACTCAGCTCACAAGCCAGTAGAGGGGCCGAGCGGCAGGGACTCCTCCGGCTCCTGAGAAGTGGATCGGCTTGGGGCCACCGCGATGCCAGGAGCCGCGGCGGTCCTTCTGGTCCTGCTGCTCAGCGGGGACCTCGGGGGCGGCCAGGAGCAGCGGCTGCACCAGCTGCCACAGACACATCAGCAAAGAGGTACAGTCGAGGCATGGGCTCTAGATCACAAACTTTGTCGGCCCAAGGCTGCTCACTGGTCCCTTCTTCCGACAGCTGCTGACGGGGGACCGCTTTCCTGCTCTGCCCTTGGGGTGCGCCTTGGGGCGAGAAGGTCTAAGCTTGAAGCAAGTTCACTTTTCAACTCCCTGAGTTGGGTAGAGGGAATTGCCTGTCTTTTTCCAAAGAACATAAAGTGCTTTTTCATTGTTCATGCGTTTCTGAAGAGAGCTTGCTATCACTATACGTCCTGCAAATTGATTTCCAAAATCTTTCCAAGAGGCAAACTTTTAAGCAATTGAAAAAGTTTCTCCATATCAGATTCCTTCCCTGCAGAGAAAGGTTTCCCAGGCTGCGGTTCATCTTGAAACTTTACGGAAGGCAGCTGATTTTTTTTTTTTTAAGGAACTTTGTAACTATTTGAACAGGGTTTGTAAAGTAGTTAAGTGTGTGGATTTTTTGTTTCCTGGCAACGGCACCTCCAGCTTCACATTATCTTTACCCACATCTTATCTCAGGTATCCTATTGTAGTGAAATTTCTCCTTGCTTAAAATACGGACGAGACTTCTATGTCATCCGTATTTTAATTAAGACCACAATGACCAGATATAAACTGCAGGGGACTTTGGAAAACAGTTGTGTTTAATATAACTCAAATTATTCTCTTCAGAGAGCTTTAATGTTTATATGCATATCATTTCCGAAACTCTGGGGAACCTTTGAAGAGTTATTTTATGATCATGAATTTTAAAAGAAGCACATGTGCAGTGTTTTAAAAACACAATTTATAGTACGTAATTTCAGCAAACATTTCTGTAAGTTGAAAAACATGCATCAAAGTAAAAAAACTAAGAAACATTTAAGGGTTGTTCTCAGATATCATAAAATTTACCCTAGGAGTACAAAACGTGGAGGTTAGCAGCTTTTGAAGGTTTCACTGAGGCTGAATCTAATACATTTTGGAAATATACTTATTCTTCTTTCAGTTAACTGAAAAACTATGTCTAGTAGTTCTGATAGTCTTTCCTCCTACATTCAAGAATTTCTAGCATTACTATTTTATTTAAAAAGGAATTAAAAAATACTCTAAGCTTCTTGCTGCAATAATAACTACCTGATTAAAATTCTGAGAATAAAAATGATCTAAGTTCACTATATGATTTTTCCTTCTATTTTTGCTTTTCCTTCTCTGAGAGGTAAAACAAGGTCAATGTGGCTTAATTAATAGCATTTAAGAGACAGTGATTTTGAGAATAGAACTGACAGCTGATTTATAAACATACTATTTTTAAATATTAACCTTGCTCAGTTATAAAATATGCTTTAACAATACACTATACTTTAACACTGTCAGGCAGCTGGGAGTGAAGAGAGGCCAGGAGGAGCGGCCCTTCAGTCCACTTCACTGAGTTCAGTTCACTGAGTGGAGCAGAAGCTCAAAGCACGCAGAGTAGGGGCAAGAGGGTTCCTCAGAATTTTCCTTGGCAGACCCCCTTTCCCCTTCTCTCCCGTCTACTCCTCTCTCCTCCTCCCTTCTGCCCCCACCTCCCCATCCCTTTCATTCTTCTTTTCTTCCTCCCTCCCTCCCACCCTTCATCTTTCCACCAGTCTGTCTCTCTCTCCTCTTCCTCTTTCTCCTCTCTCCTCCTCCCCCACCCCTCCCCTCTCCTCCCCTTCCCTCTCCTCCCCTCCCCTCTCCTCCCCTCCCCTCTCCTCCTCTCCCCTCTCCTCCCCTCCCCCCTCCTCCCCTCCCTTCCCCTTTCCTTTCCTTTCCTCCTCTTCCCCACCCATCAAATAAAATTAACCCTGATTTTTGTGGTCTAGGTACAGGTTGAAGTGAATTCAGAAGAGAACTTTTATATTGCCACTCTGTTGAGAGTAAACTCAGACACTATATACAATAAAGAATTGTATGTAAAATAACTTAACATTGAGCGTACTGTATAGACTGCTATATTCTACAATCTAGAATCTATTGTCTACTTTATGGATCCTTTGTAGTATATTTAGGATAGATTCAAGGATAAATGACTGAAATCTCCTAATAGTAAAAGTATATATAAATATATTTCATAATACCTTAAGGTTCTACAGTGCTTTATAATTTAAAAATGCCTTATGTGCCTAAGCTTATTTAACCTTCAGCTATTATTATTCTTACTGAACAAATTTAAAACCTGAGGTTTGGAGTAGCTATGACTTAAGTTGATGCAACTGATAATAGCCTTATTTTTAGGAACTGAAATAACTTAGTTTTGTTTATCCTAAAATCCTCTTTTTATGATACCAAGATTTCTTTCCACTTATTTTTTGAGGCCTATTTCCTTTTTAATGTTGTGCTAAATCAAGCTCTCAGTGAAGAGCATTGGACAGAGTTTGATAGAAGTGTTTTCTTGGCCATCATCACCTTTTTTCTTTTTGATTATACTAGCACTGACATTCTTGGCAAAACACTATTGTTTAGAAATGAGCTCTGTTTTTTGTTTTAGTACAGTACCAATTTATTAAGAATGTTGACATGAAACAATCATTTTTAAACATTGAATTGAGTTAGAAACTTAACCAGATATTTTGTTTTTTAAAAATCTTGTATAGTTTCTATAGCATACAAAGTTGTCGTATGAATAACATTGATTCAAAAAGAATTGTATTTCTAGGAAATCTTTTAACCTGATTTTAGTGATAAAATAGGAAAATGATAGTCAAAATGGTTTTGCATTTCAGTAAGACAGTAGGTACAATATTTTCCTGATATTCTTGTGGAAATGGTGATATAATAGTAGGTAAATCTCAATTGATTAAAAATAGTTACCAAAGAATATTGCATAGTGAGTCAAAGTTAATCTGGAAAGAAGTGTCTAGAAGTATGAGACATGTTTTCTTATGTTTATTTCTGCTGTTAATAGCTTGATGGAAAACATAAAAATCCAAGCTTATCAGAATTGCAGATGGTCCAAAACTGATTTGGGTAGCTAAGCTGGTAGAAACAGATTCAGGAACTTTAAAGGACTCTGTAGTGTGGACCGTGAATGGGACATACATGAAGCTGGTTATATTATTTATACTAGATGTCAAATAATTTCCTTTGCCCTATTCTGGAAATGTCCTTTATTTTATACTGCCACTCTGTTGAGAGTAAACTCATAAGAATGAGTACAAAGACGGGATGAGAAAGGACAAGTCTGAATTTCAGTAAGTACAATGTGAACATATAGTGTGACAGGAATGTTAACCAACTCACTTTTATAAAAACTCATAGAAGCAGATGGGTCTGTTTGTTAAAGCACATTTGGGTGCTTCATTGACAAATGGATGTACAATCAGAGGAGCCGGAGCACAATAGTTACAAATCTGAAATATTTTCAAAGGAGGGCTATTCCAAGTAAAGTTTGTTAATTTAGAGAAAGGAAGATTAAGAAAATCCTAAGAGATATCCTCAAAGTGTTGCAAATGTTGTTATATGCAAGAGAGGCTAAATGTCCTTCCTGAAGCCTGAACTCAGATCCTTAGTAGTATATGACCAAGAGGACTGTTTGAATTCAATAAAACGAGAGGAATCCTGCTCCCTCTCCCCATTCTGAGATGTTCAGAAATAAGTAGGGAGCACCTAGTCTCTGGAAATGCCCATGCAGTGAATAGATGCACAACTTTTTGGGGATGATGTGGTATGAAATGCCTCCACAGAGAAGGTGGGACTCATCTAGTCTCCAGTCCTTTTCCAAGTCCGATATTCTGGTATCGCATTCTATTGTATTTAGAGTGCAAACTTGTATTTAAATTTCTGAATTTTTTAAAATGTCAAGTAAATACTAAATGTACATAAATGTGCTTTTAGATGCCTTTTGGGATTTAAAATAAAAACATGTTTGAAACAATCCTCAGATATTTTTGGCAAGCATGCTTCAAAATTTAATATGGAGTTTCCACTTCAGCATCACTTGCAGTTCTAAAATATCCTGTGCTATAAAATATGAGAACACTTTATAAATTACCTGAGAACTTTTTCAGGAGATTTACTGTAGCTATAAACTTGAAGTGAATTTTTTGGAATATCTTCTTTTGGTTCAAATGTAACTTACTGGCTCATTCACTAGATACCGGTCTAATAGTTGTAAAAATGATTCATTACATAAATTTATGGTTGAAATTAAGAGCATTCAACATTGACTGTTATGTTATATGTATGGTAGAATTTTTTTAATGAAAAATTTTTTATTATAATTTTTATTTTCACATGTCAGTGTATACAGATTGCTAATCTATCTTGTTTAGAAAACTCCTTTATTCTAGGATATCATACAAAGTAATGAACTCAAGAGTTGCTAGTGATTATGTATACACTCTCCCAATTCTTCCATAATTCATCTTGGTTTCCATAGATCCTAAAATATGGGATGATTGTCACCTACACTGATAACTACAGTGTTTACCTTTTATAGATATAATTATTTAAAAACTCAAATAAGTATCACAAGAGTTATTCCTAGGTATGACTGTTGAAGTAGGTACAAGTCTATATTTTATAGGAGGGATTTAGTTAAATGGGAAGAGTGATTTCTGGATTTTTAATTCTTACATCTTTCAACTGTATCACAATAAGTATAACAAAAAAGTTTATTTTTTGGTAGACCCTACTTCACAGTATTTTCTCAGTCTCCATGTATATAATGCAGATAATTGTCACTTTTTTATTCATACATTTAATAAATACTGATTATTCATTGACAATGACTAACGTGTTAGACATTTTCACTTGGACCTCTGAGACTGAATCATTGTTCCTTCTTTTGATTGGAATAGATTTGGCAGTGAACTATGTGACGTTTCACATCTCCTTTCATAATCTGCTTTACAACTATAGGGTCACAATCCTGGACCACAATGGAAGAGGGGAATTGGGACATAGTGGGGTCCATAATACAGAGAATTAACTTCAACCCAGACTATACGTACACAGCATGATCAGTGAGGTGGCTAGCTG